ATGTTGATAACAAGCAATTTGCTTTTTCCACATTTCTTATGGTAGAATGATTTACACCAGTTACACTGCCCTCATTTTGCATTCGGCTTTGTACTTACTACTCCATCCATCCATCCATCCATCCATCCATCCATCCATCCATCCATCCATCCATCCATCCATCCATCCTTAAAATTTATGAATTGCCCAATCCCTGAGTGCACAGAGCTCTGGGCAATGTACAACAGAAGTTAAAAACATCAACATAACATTGTTAAAATTAATAAATCAGCCATTCCTATATTCAGGCAGTACCTGTTGCTAAATAATCATCTCAATGATTCAGGAGTGGGCTAAACCAAGGGACAAGCTAAGATATATAAAAAACCCAAAATAAATAAAAATAAAGAACCTAGCATACCACAGATGCATTAAATCTCACACTGGACCTTTGATGAGGAACAGTTCTAGTTGTGATATGGAACACCACTTTATGCTACTTTGAAGTAAGATTATTTCATTTGGGTTGGGGTGGGTGCTTGATACCAATGAAAACACATTATTGGGACTTAGCAATTTGATCTTCAAAACAGTCAGCTAGACTCAATGACTCGCATGGGTTTGTTACCTGCATCAGCCCTTTGACTATTGGCTGTTCTTCCCGGTTGAGAGATGGAAAATCTGAAGGTCTCCTCTATGATTTTTGCAATCCTTGCAGTTTTTAACTGGCCTTCGCAACCCAATGTACTCAAACCACTCTAGGGCACATTTTGTGCTGAGATTTTCATGACAACACGACGACTTCAACTGTTTTCAGGAAATGGGCATTGTGGGCTTCTATTTTTCTTCATATTTAATATATGGAATGTCAAACTGTCCTTGCAAAACAAAGCTTGAGAACCATTTTCTTTTTTTATTTATGTGAGGCTAGTCATCTGACTCATCAATAATTCATTTTTCCTACCAAGGTTGGACAATAATGCAGAAGCTGTAGACACTTTTCCCAATGCGTAGGATGCAGGGTTTGAACATCTTTTCACTTCAGCCCATTAACTTAATTGACTGAACACCTGCCAGACAGAATAAGTCATTGCGTGAGGATTTCAGTAGGAGCTGCTATTTGATGTTTTGTTGAATTCCATTGCTATGGTGCACAATGCAAAGTGCCAGTACTTAAGTAAACATGCCTTGTCATCAAAATGCGGTCACATATTCATCAAGGAATTATTTCTAAGCACGATCTTTTAAAACTACAAAACAAGACAAGAGAACATCATAAAGTGACCTTTAATACCTCAGAATTTATTAATAAAGTCAATTGTTGATCAGCTGGGGAAAGCTCTACACCCACAAATCTAATGACAGAGTTTAACCTATAAATGTTAAGGGCATTTTGGCTCTATTCAGATATCACAAATTCATTCCTGTTTGCTCCACACCAGGTTTTATTCTGTGTAGCACTCACATATTCCCCTTCCTTCCTTCATGCCTCAAGCCATGACTGGAATCTTCCTTGTTTAGGAAGCCTTCATTTTAATTCCATTTTGTTGTTATGTCAAAACTGGGGTTGTTTCTTCGTAAGAAAGAAATAATCCCCCCCTTTTAAGGTTGCTGAATTGACAACAGTTAAGATCAAAGCAGAGACTCCTCCTTCGTGGTTTCCTGTGCAAGGCCGAAGAAGGGAAGGAAAGAATGTATATGCAGTCTTGAGGGTCTGAGGCTTGTTCATATCACAAACAAATTGTGGTTTGTTTGTAAAATCTGAATTAAGCCTTGTATCATTCATGAAATCATTCAAGCTAATTTGATTAACTGCATCCTGTCCCATGTGTCCTTTATCCATGCAGGTCTCCTGACCTACACCATAGCTTTTTGGAGTCGTAAAGAGATATTTTCCCTGTTTTGCCAAAGAAAAAAACAGAGGATTCTAATTCACTGCATCTTGGAATGTAATGCTTATGAAGTGGATTTACATAGGCTAGCACAGGGGTGTCGAACTCATTTGTTATGAGGGCCAGATCTGACATAAATGTTACTTTGTGGGGTCAGACCATGTGTGTCATAAAATGTAATGCTGCGTACCTGAGATATAAATTTTATAAAGGACTCAAGCAAACCTAATTGACAATATTTTTTACTTAAAATACAAACAAAACCAATTGATTCCTAGCAGTGAAAGCAATTGATTTACTGGGGAACCCACAAAAGCAAGATTAATTTTTTCCCGAGGGATACCATAAAAGGGGAAAGTATCTTACACTTCCATACAAATTAGCTACGTTTTGTATATATAACACTTTTAGGAGATGAGACATTGTCCTTGCAAGTACATAAGGTAGTTTTTTGGCAACCCCTCGTATGCCCGGCCTCAGCAGCCAACCATGGCTACAATCCATGTCTCACTCTTTGTTTCCTCCCTTCCCTCATCCTACCTCTGAGGATCTTGAGGAGGCACACTGGACTCCCCTCTCCATGGCCCCATCCCTACCACCCCCCCTGTGAGGCAGGCCAGTCTGATCAACCAGCCGCAGGTGACACAGATGAGAGGGTCCTGACTGAGGAGAAGGAGAAGTCTAACCTTGGCTCTCCCAGATCCCCCACCCACAGTTCTAATCCCTTCTGCATTCCCCACAGAAGTGGTGGGGTTGAGGGAAGTCTTGACAGAGAGGCTGTTTCCGAAACCTCCGGGGTGCTTTTTGTCCTCCCACAACCCCTTTTCCCTCACAGGCTGAGAACAGGTGCGGGAGTGGGGGGAAGGAGGTCAACACCCCCCACCCGCCCCAACACTCACTCTGCCTCCTGGCTCTGCAGCTGTTTAGACATGCAGCGACAACATCAGCGCCCCCTTTCCCCATTGCTCCTGCACTTGCTTCCAAGGCCAGGAGGTTTTTCCCCTCAGAGCGGAATTCATAAGACAGCCCAGTTGCCTCCCAATCAATGTTCCCTCTAAGCTGTGGAGTCCTGTGAGCAAAAATTCTATTTTCTGAGCTACCGGCATTAAAGTTGTGAGCAAGCGATTTGGCTACGGCATAAATTAGTTTGCTCCGGAGCCCTCCTTCCTGAGCTAAGGCAAAAATGTGTGAGCCGGAGGCTAAAGAATGGTGAGCTAGCTCACACTAACTCAGCTTAGAGGGAACACTGCTCCCAATCCATGTGTGCTGGCCTTCATCTCTTCTTTTCTGTCCCTGTCTGTTAGTCGGCTGATTGTTGCTCTGTATGCCCGCTCTCACCAACCCCCCCTCACAGTCATCATTTGACAAAATGCGAAGCTGGCTGGTGCAGTGATGGCAATGCTGGCTGCTTGGCTCCACTCCCCATGTAGTGGTGTGACGAACTGACCTCCAAAAGCAAGATGCTTAGTGCATCAGATTCAGACAGCAGGGAGATTAAAGGGTTAATGCCTCACTGTGAAGCACAGGTTGATTGACAGTTTGCTGCTGCTGCCTGCATGCCCCCTCCCCATTGATCAGTGCCAGCTGAGGAGAGCTTTAAGAACAGCTGAGTGCTGAGGAAAAGGGTCTTTTTTGCTTCTTTTCCTCTCTGGTGTGTCAGAAGCCAGACAGGTGGAGTTAGTGTGTCTGTCAGAGGGAAACAGACAAGTTCACTTGTGAAGTGAAGGAATACAACTCCTTCCCTTACTGTGTACCATCAAAACAGTGGAAAAGTTCCAAATAAGAACTTTAGTCTAAATGTCAGCCAAGCTGAAAACCGTTTATTTCACTGGGTCAAGAACTGAGGGTCAGTTTTGGCAAGAGGGATTGGTCAGTAGGTTGAAGGTGCCAGTCTAGCCAAACAGAGAAAGGAATATTGCTTTTAGGAAAAGAAGACTATTTCCTTCTCAGCTATTCAGTGGGTTCAGTTCTGAAGGGACCCCTGGATTGGGTGAAAAAGGAAATTGTTTTAGACTCCTCTAGAATCCAAGGGAAAGTTGTAATCCCACAGAGAGGGAGAATAACTACAGGAAGAAAGTACTAATCTCCAGGAAACAAAGATAGTTATATGAATCTTTATTAAGACACGTTGTTACCATTAAGAAATCTCCAAGACAAGCAAACCTCTCACTGTTAAGAACCGAGTCTCTAAGAAAATAAGCTTCAGCAATACTTTGTAGCCTGTTCAAAATATAATTTGTAAATAACAACAAAATTTACCTCAGTTTCCTTATTCCTTGCCTATTCCTAACCCAACTGTGCCTGTTTATATAAGTCATCATTCCTGTTTCAAATTTACTTTGTGTCAAGTGCCATTTACAAAGGAAATAACAAGTGAGCTTCTGCTTATCTGTAATAAATCTCTGGCCTGGGCAAAAGCCAAATATCTTCTCTACCACAGGGTGGGACACTCAGTCATAAACTGTTTATTAACACAAGCTACCAAGGGGCTGTTCAGACAGAGTGGGGAACAGAGTTTTTGTCGGGATTCGGGAACATCTGCCTCACGAAAAAGAAGCAGCAGGGATCCATTGTAAGTGGCTTCTCCAATCCTTGCCGAGCTGTGGTCGGAGGAGGCAGGAGGGAAAAAAGCACCAAGCCTCCTCTTTCTCTGCCTTTGTTCCATTCCCCCCACACTATTTTACCTCAGCCTCTCAGTCCCACCCCTAGCCATTTCCTTTTTATTTCTTGACAGTTTCCACCACACACACAACTCACCACATGCGCTTGCTCACCTGCTCACTCCCCAGCAGCCTCCTGCCTTCCCTCCCTCATACTAGTTGCTTGTGGGCTGGATAAGAGCCCTGGATGGGCTGGTTCTGGCTCCCGGGCCTTATGTTTGATACCCCTCGGCTAGCAGATGGACATTCATTGCTTTATAAGTGTATCATTGATTATTTACATATGTAAATGATATGACACCACAGGTAGGATGTCCATATCATCTCTAATCCACTGCCTTCCAATTGAGTTAGTTCAGTCATTCGTCACCTCTAGAGAAATCAAGTGATGTGCATGCATACAAGCATGATTCAGAGTGATGCTCCTAATTTCAGATGAACATGCTTTGACACTATGTGCATGTGTTACCTTCAAGTAGTGGTGTTTTAGTTTTTCTTCTTCTACTTTAAGGCGTTTCTGGGTGATTTCTTCTTGCAGCTTCCTCTTGTCCTGAAAATCACAAAAATAATTTAAAAAAATCTATCCCCAAGAGTGCTTTTTGAAGTGGACTTTGAATGATAATGAATGTCATTCCTATACTCTTAAAATCAATAGGAGATTGGACTTTGGTTTCAGTATGTACAAAATTAAGATATTGGAGTGAGCGTTGTTGTCTCTGTGCTGAAACTTAGGACTACCTCTAACGCCTGCAAGGGTTATATGAAATCATGCTCTTATCACCTGGTGCTGTAGATAAAAACACAGCACTACTGAGCATGTGGCTCTGGGTGATGGAGATTGCATCAAGTCATCTAGAGGCCACATAGCTGAACCAACAGAACCAAGAAGCAACATGAGCTCATTCACATTTATGCTTTGGTTTTGGATTTTATTTATTTATTTATTTATTATTTTGATTTATACCCCGCCCTCCTCGCAAGCAGGCTCAGGGAGGCTTAAAGTTTAATTAACAACTTTAATGTTTTGTGGTTTTATTATGTTTTTTTTTGTAAGCTGCTTTGGGCAGGTTCCCTGGAGAGGTTGCATAAAAGTATTCTAAATAATTAAATAAAATTTCACTTCAGTTGACAGAGGGCCATCATGCTCTTGGGCAATGCTGCCTGGATCAAAGCATTCCATATGCTAGAAATATGTGTCAAGAATGTGACAGATGCCAACTTACCCACTATGGTAGGCAATCTCCCATTGTCACCGCCTGGTTCTCACTGCTGGTCAAATGAGCAGCAGAGGTGGGGGAATGATGTGGGGCGGGGAGATGTGTCAGTATCACTTCTGGCTAAAACCCAGAAGGGACGGTACTGATGCTATAGAACACGGGTCCCCAGTGTGGTGCTTGTGGGCCCCATAGTGTATGCAACACCTTTTCTGGTACCCACCAAGTGTTTTTATACAGTGGGTGGGGCCAGAGGGCCTTTACCCAGCAGGGCTTCTGATTGGCTGTGAAGAGTAAAAAAAAATGCTTCTGAGGCTGCCACCACAACAGTGGAAAGGTTTTCACTGTTCGTACGCAAGAAACTATTTTGCAATAATATGTTCATTTAAAAAGGCATCCTTTAAATCAGAGCTTTTGTCTGAAATGTTGAAGAGTTACTACTGGATTTTTGCATAACTTGGCTCTCTTGCATTTTGAGGTTAGCTCTGCCTCCAGGGGAAGCCATTTTGAAGTTGTGCCCACCACCCCATGTCAGAATTCCAAAGACGCCTGCAGGCTCAAAAGGTTTGTGGACTCCTGCTCTAGAATTTCACTGATTTCTATGGTAAAACTCTTTTACTCATGCCCTTTCTCCTCCCAAGTCCCTTGGCAACCCTACATACTGACTTAAAAATAATTACATTGGACAGAAATCTTAGTAATTTCTTCAGCATTAAGATTCTTAGATAGGGTTGCTATACTCCAGATATGGCCTGGAGATCTCCTGGAATTACATCCGATCTTCATACAACACAGATCAGTTCCCCTGGAGAAAATGGCAACTGCACAGGGCAAATGCTGCAGCATTATATACCAGTGAGGTCCCTCCCCAAACCCCACCCTCCTCAGGCTCTACCCCCTAAATCTCCAGGTATTTCCCAACCCAGTTTGGCAACCCTTTGTAATATGCTAAGGAATTGTGACTAAGGTCTAAGTCTGATTGGCTGAGTTGCCTGGCAGTTGCAGAGGGGATTAGATACTCATTTCTGATTGCCATTGAGATATTATGATCTTGCTGGAAGCAGACTGTCACTGGCTGAGCTGTTCCGATCCTGAGGGTTACTCTCTCACATTGGCTGAAGTGCAGTAGCCCTACCAAAAGGAAGCAGGGCCTAGGAAAGAAAGGCTGGTTTTGAGATCGTGGCCCTGAAGAATGAGATGCATTCAAGGCCGAAAGGAGGAACTGAAGAGGGAAAGGAAGAAAAGAGAAAGGAGGAAGAAGTTGACTAGGAACTGCAGAGGTGAAGAAGGCTGAACTTTATACAGCGTTTGGAAATAACTAGTGAAATCTTTGGCTACAGGTCTCTAGTTTCCTATTAAAGTTTAAAAATCAACCTCAGCTGCCAGAATCACTCTGTTTATTCTACAATAATCTTGTCTGCTTTAAGGGCCAGCACATCCAATTGCCCTGCTTTTGGTAGGCATTTTCCCCTAGAGGCAATGGCATCTATTTCTCTTTCCTGTCTCTGCCTATGGCAAACCATTTGTCCGTCTCTTTTGCTATAAGTAGTAGGTATAAATTTGCCTCTGGTACAGTGTGGGGGAGTGCAAAATTTCAGCCTCTGCTTGTGGCCAGTGAGTCAGACGACCCAGGGAGCAGGCACAAAGGACAGAAATAAACAAGGTTAGGTTGTCACGTGCCCTGGCTGTGAGCATGCAACTAAAATGTTTCACAGACCAGAAGAGGGAACAAAATTGTGTGCAAATAACATCCACAGTATTTCAAAAAGCTATGAATCACACACTGCAGATCAACTGCACCACAGCACTTTGTCATCATGGGAGGTGGAGACATTTGTCTTGGAAGCCTATGCTCATGGAAAAGGCAATCTGCTTTCCAATTTCCTGCTACGGTTGTAGAAATGGAAAGCAATGCCATAGAGAAACTGCCAAACTTTTAAAAATAGACAAGTTAGTATGTACCTGTTGAGAGGCTAACTAAAATAGAGCTATTTATTGCTCTCTCTCGCTCTCTCATCTCCCATCTCTGTGACTCAGAACATAATTAAGCCCTTTGCTGGATGAAAAGAGTGTTAGGCATTAAAAGATTTTTGAATAGCAATGAGTGTGTTGGAGAGAGCTGGTTGCCTTTCCCTGTTTTCAGCTGCTGCAAAAAGCAACATACCTGTCCCAGAGTAGGAAAAAATGACACATAGCAGAAGAAAGTGTATATACATATTTATGCTTGAAACCAATAGTTGTCGTATTCGACAGAGTTACCGCCAAAGTATTATCAGTGGAGTGTCATGAACAATTAGGGTTGCCAGGTCCCCTCTGCGCCTGACGGGACTGGGGGATAGGGTTGCCAGCTCCAGGTTGGGAAACTCCTGGAGATCTGGGAAAGACAGGGACCTCACTGGTACAATGCCATACAGTTCACCCTCCAAAGCATCCATTTTCTCTCTTTTTTAAAATCCCCCTAAGGGGAAATTTTTTACTGATTTTTTTGCAGACTACAAACTATAACAGAAAATATAGGAAAGGGGACTACATCTAGGGGAACAGAAAAGAAAACCCACTACTAACTAAAAACCCAAGAGTAGGAGATCAATACATCAGTTTATCATAGGCCCCGGTCACACGGGAGGTTTTGGGTCAGAAGAGGGACGGATTGGGGGCGCAGCAAACGGGCGCGACCACATCGCAACATCTGGGAATTGGCGTGCACCCGTCCCCGATCCGTCCCTTCCGGCCTAAAACCCGCTGCAAAAAAAGAAAAAGAAAAAAACCCCAAGTAAAAGGTAGCACCAACCTGGAACGGCGCAGCAAGTGCGGCCGTGAGATCACCGGCACGCCCGTCTGCAGGAGCAATCGAGGCTTCCGGCCGAACTGCACATGTGCACACATGCACAGTTCTGCTGCCTTGCTCTCCCTGCAGTGGCTTCCCCCCGGCATCTGATCGTGCCGGGGAGCAACTACGCGGCAGCTCAGGGGATCTATTTGATCCCGCCGCCATGTGCCTGTTTTGGTGCGGCTTTAAAAAGCCACACTTTGGCCGTTCTCTCTCCCCCCCCCCCCCGTCCATCCCTTTAACTGTTTAAAAAAACTCCCAGAGCATCCCAAAGTTATTTCAAAATGTTTTCAGGCACAAGTCAGAGTCCTTGAGCCCTTATTTATTCTTATCTTTTCTAATCCTCAATTTATATGGACCTTTGGGGGCTGGTGCCCCCTTTTCAGAGGGTGAGTCCCCGAGCCTAACTCACCATCAGATTTGCTTTCTTCTTCCTTTTTGTCATCTTCTGGTTCCCCGAGCTGTGTTCGCAAAAAGTCACATGCTTTAAAAACAGAGTCAATCTTTTATTTCTATCGTTAAACTTGAAAATGATGCCTTCTGGAATTAGCCATCTGTAACTGATGCCGTTTGTTTGTAGTTCTTTCTCTTCTGTCTTATATCAAATGGAATGTCTTTTAGAATCCTGATGTTGTTGTCTCCGATTTTCAAGGGTGTTCCCGTAATTGCTTTCAAAATCAAGTCTCTTACATGTCTCTTCGAGAATTTGACTACTATTTTCCCAGGCAGATTATTTTTCTTGATATATGTTGAATATGACCTATAGACCACATCCATCTCACTGTAGAAGTACTCCGCTGTCAAATATGTCATTGGAGCCAGTGCTTCACTCAGCCATTGCTTCAAATTCTCTCCTTTAATTTCCGGGACCCCCTGGAATCACAGGACCAAATTTGCTTTCTCCATTTGCAGCTGCAAAAGTTTTGTTTCTTCAGTGGCTTGCTTCATTTCCAGCTTCTTCACCTTTTTTTTTTTTACTTTTTTAGTGCTGGTGTCCATTTCCTTCACCTTCTCTCCCATTTGCTCTGTTGCTTTTAACGATTGGGTCAATTGCATTTGCTGTGAAGCCAAGCTCTGCCCAATTGTTGACAATTGCTGCTTAATACTTGTCATCTCATCCAGCAGAGGGTGCAAGGAATCAGCCAACAGTTTTGAAATCTCAGAAGACTCTTCCGGGCGAGGACTACTCCTTAGTTTCGCTTTCAACAGCTTTTCTTTCTCCGGTTTCTTCCCCGCCATATTTTTGGATTTGTTTACTTTTTCAAAAAGTTGCTAAAGTCTCTGGTACTCGCCCAAACGCTTGTCTGTGTTCTGGTAAGTCTCTTAAAACAGATTTAGATGCTTATTTTTCTGCTTCCCCCCTTTCCCCGTGTATTGTGTGCGTGTTTGGGAGGATCCCCTCCCCTGCTCGCTTTCCTGGCATTCTTTGGGGGGGGGCAGCTTTCTTTTAAATATTTGTGCTTGCTTCAACCCGACTCACAGTTCGTTGTTGGCCTTCTGGTCTCG